CTACTAACAAACAATTAGTCAAACTACTAACAAACGAGAAGTCAAACTACTGAAGAACAATTAGTCAAACTACTCATGAACTATTAGTCAAACTATTAATGAACAATTAGTCAAACTACTAACAAACAATTAGTCAAACTACTAACGAACGAGAAGTCAAACTACTGAAGAACAATTAGTCAAACTACTAATGAACAATTAGTCAAACTATTAATGAACAATTAGTCAAACTACTAACAAACAATTAGTCAAACTACTAACGAACGAGAAGTCAAACTACTGAAGAAAAATTAGTCAAACTACTAATGAACTATTAGTCAAACTACTAATGATTTATTAGTCAAACTACTAACGAACTATTAGTCAAACTACTAACGAACGAGAAGTCAAACTACTAACGAACAATTAGTCAAACTACTAAGGAACAATTAGTCAAACTACTAAGGAACAATTAGTCAAACTACTAACAAATGAGAAGCCAAACTACTAATGAACAATTAGTCAAACTAGTAATGAACAATTAGTCAAACTACTGACGAACAAAAAGTCTAACTACTAACGAACAAAATGGTAAATGGACTGTACTTAAATAGCATTTATATAGTACTTATATATATTTACCATTTACCTTTTTTACCATTTACCAAGAAGTCAAACTACTAACAAAAAAGAAGTCAAACTACTAACAAACAATTAGTCAAACTACTAACGAACAATTAGTCAAACTACTAATGAACAATNATCATCCAACCACCCACCCATCCATCCATCCATCCATCCATCCATCATCCATCCATCCATCCATCCATTTATCATCCATCCATCCATCCATCCATCCATCCATCCATCCATATATTTATCATCCATCTATCCATTATCCATCCATCCATCCATCCATCCATCCATCCATCCATCCATCCATCCATAACACAGTCTGTTTTATCTGTAGACTGGTTGGATAAACTCCCGTGCTGCTGGAGGACCTCAGTGAGGGTAAAGAGCAGCTCCACAGCTGTCAACATATAAATCAGTCATTTTTACAGAACCGGTCCTGCTTCATGTGTTTCCCACAGGCAGAGGTGAAAATATGTTTCTGTCGCTTTAATAACATTAACAAACCTGAGGAATTTTTCCCATTTATTCAGCCATGAAGCTGCCCTTTATTTAGAGTTAATAAATAACTTTAATATGATTTAATGAAGTCCAATGAATCACTGTGTAAAAACAGCTGTCAGTCTTTCAGGAGGCCAGTATTAAAGCTGAGGAAAAGCAGAAAAAACAACATTAACATCCTGTTGCTCTCAGCCTCTGTGGGAGTTTTGTGCCCTGATAATCATCTCTCATTATGTTGCTGCAGTCAATTAGCATCCATTACTGTCAGCCTGCATCTCTGAGTAAATGTTGACACTCTCTAATTTCCCAACAATAAGCTGCTCACCACATTTAGCCTGAAAAAAACACCACGCTGAGACTTTTCCCCTCATTTGGACTTGAGTGGAAACTGGATCCTTTTTCCTTCAGCTGCAGTTTTTCACTGCGAGGATCAGACTTTCCAGTAAAAACCTCTTTAAAACACAGCTTGTTCTCAAACACCAGGAAACACTTCAAATAATTAAAGACCAGAAGAAAATCATTTTTATGGTGGAGCAACACAGTTATTACATCATGTATCAGACCAAAATATACAAATTAATCAACAATTCATGAAATACAACGAGTTAAAAATGAACACAACAGCCCTTAATGGAGCATGATCAATCAAAACAACATATCTACTCTATCTATCTATCTATCTATCTATCTATCTATCTATCTATCTATCTATCTATCTATCTATCTATCTATCTATCTATCTATCTATCTATC